ATATTTTCAATCATAATTGTACCGAAACAGACTTAATTTTCTTTTGAATGTCAATTATATATACATTCGTTTTACATCTCTCTCTTTATGTTTACATCTGAAACCACGTGGTAGAACTACCTTCATTCCGTATTGTTTTCGATGTTATTATAGATAATCCGATGCAGTTCCTAATGGGTGTTTGATTATCAAAAATGAAATGTCGCGGAACAGGAGAATTTCGCAATGCAAACATATTCAGAAGAAATTATCTTATCCGTCAATTAATCGCGCTCTTCGGGTTTTTTTTTACTAATCATTTTGTAGTACACACATTGGGTTATTGTGTTTTGCTGTACCTATAAATAGAATGATGACCTTAACATTGTGAAAGCCGAAAATCTATTTATGGAAGTACATGTAGTTTAAGTTTAACGAAACGGTCATTCGTGTCGCGATATGGACATAAATAACGAACTGGAGAATTTTGCAGGAAATGAAATATGAAAAATGAAACATATTCAAACAACTAATTGCACTTTGGATATAATAGACCTGTATATTTTGGATATATACGTTAATATTGATAGAATTTCAAGTTCTTGTGGAAAAAAAATAATATTATAATCTCTAGCCTGCCTACCAAAGTTCATGATGAACAATGTCTTTCGTCCGCCCAGTCATAAATATGATACAATTCTGGTAAAAACCAATAAACCATTGAAAAGGTTATAAGAATATATGGTCATCAGATGTCTTCTAGTTCATCTTCACTTGCTGCATTTCTTACATGGACGCCCTTTGATGCTTTGCATCAATGCTTTTCTTGTGTTATTGATGTAACGACATGATTTCATGGATAACGAAATTGATCGCTTATTGTATTGGGTTAAAATAAAGTATGTATCTGTATTCCTTCTAACTGCAATCCGCTATAAAAATGAATCCTTAAAATGTATGTATCATGGTCTTAAGGTATATAATTTTCAAGGAACTTGACAATGTAAAACGATAAAACTAGCAATTACTCGCTTGAAAAAGAGTATATTTTGTTACACATTTAAGAATAGCTAATTATACTTCTTTATGTGCAGAATCGAATCATGTGTGCATTATTAACTAGTTTCTTTTAAGGAAAAACTCTTTAGAAGAAATCATTCTATATAAATTATAGATAAGATTGAGATTTAATCAAAAGAAATTTAAGTACAATTAAGTTGAAATAATCCAAATTATCACTCATAACTATATTTAATTTAGAATACAAGATTGTACAATGCCTATTGTATATATAAAAGTCAACAATGAAAATTAGATATAAAAAATAATAAATTTTTAAGTTTATTTTAAGGTCAGTTCAACCTTTGTAAAGGACTTGTCTTAAGGTATTAGCACCCTAATGCATTACCTCCGCTTTGAAGAGTATTCAAATAGGCTAGAACTACTGTTAACTACATTGAAAATGAGGGCCATGGGTTCAATCCCCAGAAGGGTCAACTTTTTTCTTTTAACATTTTTTATGTATCTCTCATGTCCCATTTGGAAAAAAAAAGTGTTTAATTTTGATTTTTTAATTTATATAGGTATTTATTGGCTAAATTATGCTAAATCTAGTAATAAATATGGTACCTGATATTTTCAAAGTGTAATATAATCAAAACTAGACGGTAAAAGTATTTCATATTTTACAAGATCAACCAATATACTTTTTTAAAAATTTAGGGAAACTTTGAAAACAGGCACTCATTTGGGTAAATTTTAAGATTTTTTTAAATTATGCTTCCTAAGTAGAAAAATGGTCAGACACGTGGTAAAAATGGGTGGGGTAGGGTAACATTTTTATACAGATTTCATAAATTTTAAGTAGAAACCATATTTTTGCTTATTTCGATTGTTAGCTGAATGGTACTATTTGTTTCTTACCAAAAATTAATGGGAAAACATTTTTCATTAGAATGTTATTGCAGATTATTTAAAGGTTCCTACTTTCTAAAAAAGGGCCCTCATAACATCCTAGCTTGAGTTCAGAAAAGTGGCCATAACTTGATTTCCGTACGGTAAACTTTGTTTAAATTTTGCATACAGGTGTACTTTAAGGTATACATCTGACTTATGATGTCAATTTTTTAGTTCCTGATAGTGCCCATTAGGGTCCTAATACCTTAAGGTTTATTTGGTACATGCATGAAGATAATTCAATAATTAATTACAAAGTCACAGCCACTTAAGCAAATAATCAGTAAAGATACAATAAGTTGATCTTCAAGGTCAAGGTCATTCATGAGCCAAGGTCTACTTGAGTTTGATATACATGAAGGTCTTATCATAAAGGATGTTGTTTCAAATATGAAGTTAATCCCTTTATAAAACAGAATTTGTGAAAGAAATACCAACGTTCCACGCCTAAGGAAAGTTTCACATGAAGCTCAGACTGTGCTATTCAAAATTTGAGGTATCAAGACTTTCAGTGCAAAATCTTGATCAATGTTAGATCTGCACATGCAACAATAAAGTCATTACAGAAATAGAACAAAATAACTCCAGCGCTTATGTCAACAGAATTTTTTTTGTATAGTTGTGATCATTATTTCAAAACCACAAAACGTGCCCCAAAAAAAATCAATACAGGGCTTGGTATGTTACAGGGTATATTTTGTGACTGGTTCGTAATTTTTCATCAAACAAGGTATGTGGGCGCTTCACCAATGACATTATATTTGCTTCGGCCTTGCTAGGCCTTGCTAGGGGTCCGGGTATTGCGCATAACACATCGTGTTATTATTGTGAATATTTTTGCAAAGAAATTTCAAAATCCCTTGATATATGTAAAAGTTTTGGAAACAAAATATATCCTATAACAGAAATGTAATTGTTTGACCCCAAAAAGTGACCATGACTTTGAATGTAGAGGTCCGGGTGCAACGCATGACATGTCGTCCCATTACTGTGAACATTTGTGCCAAGTAATTTCAAAATCCATTGAACGGTGATACAAGACAATGCCCATGGGCTGAATGTCTAGCCCGCCCTGTAAGCTTCAGATGAAGGAGAAAGATGTTTACATAGGTGAGATATGCGCAACACATCCCCTTTATACCCAAAGCAAAATATTGACATTGCATCATCTTAGGTGATCTTGATCTCTGACCCGGTGACCTGGTTCATGTGCATCACACGAAGTCTCATAATGAAGATTTGTGCCTAAAACTGAATTAATGTTATATGAAAATTACTCTACGCTCGAAGAAGTAATGACATGGACAACTTTGGCCACACAAACGCACAAGCAAAAACTGAGCAGCCATTTTGTCAACTTTGTCGAGCTCAGCGGAAGCGGGCTCAAAAAACCTCTTATCACTAAGCATTATACTTCAAAGCAAGATACAGTGCGGATAAAATTCATGATATTTTTATTCAACATTTGCCCTCTTGGGACCTTGATTGTCATTTTGCACAAGACATCTGAACTCACCATTGAGAATATGACCTTTGTTCTAACTTATATTAAAATTCATCCATGTTTATAGAAGATATACTCACAAATAAATGTTTTAATATGTTATTTGACCTTTGACACTGAAGTGACACCTTTGCCAAAAGCACCTGAATTTTCTCGAGACACTCTGCTTCTCTTTTAAAAACTATTTTCCTATTAAAGCTCTTGCAGTCATTATATAAAGCTAGCGAAACACGCCAATGCGTATGTTCTGATCAATTTAGTAAAGTTTCGTCAAATCCCGCATGCAGCTTTACCTGTCAATTCTGGACACAATTTGTCTATTTTAAGCTCTGGCAGCCATTTTATGCACCAAAGCAGAACATGCCTGCGATATAAACAACCAGGTATGGTACTGATCACTCTTGTGAAGTTCTCTGTCGAAATTGACCTGTGAAAGTGGGATTGTTTTCTATTTACAGCTCTGGCAGCCATTTTGTGCAACAGGGCTGAACAAACAGGCAATATGCACAAATGAGGATGGTACTGATCAATCCTGTGAAGATGCATTAAAATCCCGCCTGCAGTTTGACCTCTGTCAGTGAAACAAGATGTTCCTAATTTAAGCTCTGTCGGCCACTTTGTGCAGCGAACCAGAACGTGCCCGCGATATATACAGATATGTATTGTACTGATCACTCCTATGAAGTAATGTCGAAATCATGCCAGAAGTTTGACCTGCGAAAGCTGGACAATATTGTGTGTTAATAACTTATCCATTCATTACTAATAAAACTATAGCCAGTTAAAGAGAAGAAAACTAGAAAGGGTTTTTGTAGCAAAAACATGTCTCCCACGTATGTACTCCAAGAATAAATAAAATAGCGGCATGTAAATCCCACCAGCAGTTTGAACAACTTTGGTAGTGGACCTATAGATGATATCATATACCAAATCAAATATCAAAGCTCTAAGCCTTGTACCTCAAAACAAGAATATCTTTTAAACTTTTACTATTAAAAAAAGGGGTAAATCAATGTCCCCCGGAGAGGGGCCGTTTTAGACCCCTGGGCTATAATTAGAATAGTCTTAATAGAGGTCTACCAGACAATGCCTTATACAAAATATATTCTCTAGGCCTTGTGTGTCTTTACAGGGAGATTTTAGAAGTTTATTCTTATAATTTATTTTTGTTACCATGGTAACAAGATTTCTGCATGGAATCAAAGTCTTTGAACAACTTTGAAAGCCCTTTAACCATGAAACAATCCTTTAAAGTTTGGTTGAAATTAGTTCACTATATAATATATAACACACACACACAAGTGATTATTATCAGTATATGCTGCGATGGCATAAAGAAATGACAAACGTTTAAGATTTCGGAAACCATCGGCAATGGAAACGTCAACGACAGCTGTAGCAATAACATTTTGCTTCGAAAAAGGCGAGCTAAAACATCCTTCGCAAGCTGTCTGTCACACCAAAACTGGCAATGGTACTAAGACATCTCACGCCCTATTAGATTAAGTGTTGTAGGATACCAGACATGTATATATTTGGATTTAACAAATAAACACATAGCTAACTTTTGTCAAACTTTTAATTTTGAAATATTGTCATAGATTCTATACAACTTGAAAGTAACTAAGTTTCAGAATGGGGAGTTAAATACATCTATGTATTTTAAAGGCGTAATTAAATCAACTATATAATTATTGTGATATTTTGTTTCATGGGTACGGCGTTCAAATGATTATTTGAAAGTATATCCCTTGAAATAAAATTTAAATATTTAATAACAAAATATGTCGTAATGTTAAAGGGTTCGCCTTTAAACTGAAAAAGTATATCTCTTGAAATGAAACATAAAACTTGAATGACAAAATTTGTCAAAATGTTAAAGGGTCCGCCTTTGAACTGATAAAGTATATCCCTTAAAATAATAATAATAAATTTAATGACAAAGCATGTCATAATGTTAAAAGATTCGCATTTAAACGATTAAAGTATATCCATTGAAAATATATCAATTTAAATGAATTATTAGAATCAATAGGGCATTTCGATGGATGAAAGGGCTCGCCGTGATTATTTTATATCGTAATCAAGTGTATCCCTCCACGTAGACATTAGTTTAATACAATTTTTAAGGATTCGCCTTTTTAAATAAAGTTTACCCCTCGTTTAGAAACAATTATAATAGATACAAATAATAAATTTATTGCAAACATATCATTTGACTTATGAAAGGGCTCGCCTTTATTGTATAATGATATAATAAAGTGTATCCCTCGATATAATAAAACTAATTTAGAATAATTCAGGCAAAAAAAAAAATAAATCATTTCAAATTTTCAAAGAACTCGACTTTGAATATAAAGTACGTTTATCTTGAAGAAATAAAAAAAATATATATACAAGAACAAAGATTATAGCTGTCACTAAACAAAGTCATAAATTGTCTACAGGAAATAATGTACCTTCTACAAGGAAATGATATAAGTTTGTTAGAATAAACATCAAGTTTTGTTAAACTATATTTGACGTATGATTTGTTATTGAACATAATAATAATAAAAATACTATATATAATACATATAAAATATTTGTACATATTTTACAAGAGAAAATATCATAAGAGTAATGCACTCATGTCTTTCATACTCATTTAATTAATAAAGACGTCTTAAGGCAATATTTTAAAGGATGTAGTTAAAAGGCAAGGTGCTTCAAAAGTAAGAACAGAAATTACAAGATGAGTAACGAGTAAATTTTGTCAATATACATGACAGAGTAGAAGGTTCTCTTTCCGAAATAAGTGTATATGATGGTCAGAAAAAACAATCATAGATTCTAATCAATTTGTTTAGTAAAAATATCAGTTGATATGAAAACGTTTATATAAATTCTCAATAATAGGTGGCATACTTGTGTCAGAATATGTGACAGCCATCTAAAACTCTGGCCTACAAGTGTATTTGACAATAACAACACTTAAATGGGTGTAAAGAAACTATGGTTGTACAAATATATTTCCTAATACGTGATACTAATGTAAACAAAGGCACAGGGCAGATATCGATTTTTACAAAGTTCAATTTATTTACAAAAATGGAACTTAAGTATTAAAAATGTATATGAAAGTAATTGATGAAGATAATTACATAACTGATGAAAGTGCTCAAAAACAAAATTGCACATAATCGATATATGCATAACAATTAATGTAAAAGAAAATCAAATAATATGAATAATGTACATTAAAGTTGAAACATTCAAGTCAAAACAACTATACAGTAAAGCCAAATGCCTTTCTCAATGCAAAGAAAAACAAGTACTTTAATATCAACACCATAATTGTTGAAAGAATAATCATTTAAACTATATACATGTATTTTTTTTAAACAACAAAGAAATATAAAACAAACATTACCTTTAGTGCAATAATAAAGATGCATTTTTCCAAAACTAGTCTTTCAGAAAACTGCCTTAATAAGAACAATATAACAATATTTCTGTACTTCTAACATGTTTCAGTAAATTTAAGAAAATAAAAGTACAGCTTAATCAACTCATCAATATGAATTACTTCTAAAAATGAAAAATTGTACATACAAATGAAGGAAAAACACTACAAAGATACACAGTATAAATATATAACTTACAGTGTATATAATTACAAAATAAATGGTTGTCTTCAAAATGGTAAAAAACTCATCTGCTGAATGTATGAAGTGGTCAGTAAATAGAAACACCAATCACCTTACTTTAAACCAAATTTAACTTCCTTTAAATACAAAAATAATCCAATAGGTCATCTTATATACAACCTAAAGGCAACTCTTATCACGTTTACATGTAAGTTCACAAAATGCATATACATATATAGAAAAAACATTAATATTATAATATGTTATCTGCTAAATTATACAAAAACATTAATTTATTATGTATCATCAGAATTATCAATGTTTTAAAGGCAATATATCTACAATATATCTAAGGTTCAATGAAGAACAAATAGCAATAAAAACTTTTCGTCCGAAGCATGTTTATGAGAACAGTAAAACTATACAGCTTGGTAATGACCCAAAACCTGTCGAGTGATATTGATATGATATTTATCTACATTATGTTCAAAATTCACTAAACTTTCCCTAAAATGGAAAGCCATTCCGCCATATTCTGGAAATGAAATATAAGGTTTCATAAACAAACAAAAAAAAACTCGCAACCAGCTATGTGATGTAAGACATTTATGGCGTCATAATGACAAACAAAAAGCACTTCTTTATATTAACACTAAATAAAATATAACACATCAATATCAAAACAATGAGTGATGTAACATGAACAGAATCTTTACAAAACAGCCGAAGTCAAATATATAAACACTGCTTTAAGTACAGTAATCTGATAAAGGGATCCCTCGATATCAATGATATCTTGAGTGACAAAGTAAAAATTGAAGACTCGATTTGATCTAATCAGGCGTCTTCACATGTTTGACTGAGAAAATGTTTAAGTAAAAGGTTTATCTACACGTGAAACAATATTCTGATGAAGAAATGTAGTAGAACAATTTTTATAATTGTGTACGTTTGTTACGTCCACAGTAACCATTATATAATCTACAAACACAGCAACTGTCAATTGAAAATGAAGTATTTTCCGTATTTTCTCAATTTAAGAAAATATGCTGTACACAAAATTCGTTATAAGATGTCTGAATGGTTTTATGGCCGGACATAAATGGTTGTTTGCAATAAAGCATGCATCTAGCAGCCGGGGTTACAAACATAAAAAGGTGAGCCATAAATAACCATCAAACATCTTGGTATTCAAACGTTTATCAAATAGAAAATGTCAAAGAATTTTTTTTCTGTATAAACAGCAATTTCAAAGTCACTTTAATTCAGCAAGAAATTAAAAGACAGTACTTGCCATATTCATAACTAAACACATAATTTATAACAAAAATAAGATAATTAGTCTACTATATAAACAAGATAAAAAAATATCAAAAACACATTGCTTTATCTTTTACAAAATATACAAATGTACTTGAAAACTATTACAACAAAACTGATAGCTCTTTTTTCATCATCTAGATAATCAAGTTCTTTGCCGGTTTCCATACGATGACGTTTCATACTTTATCAAGACATACACATATTATGTGTGAAATGTCAATCTAAAAGTATAAATGTCAATATGCACACAGCAAAACACTTTTTGAATAGCAAAAAAAACAAGACTTTCAGAAAAGCAAAAATTAAAACAAAAGTGATTCATATGAAACAAAACGGAAAATACAATAATACAGATAGAAATATTGTAACATCAAACTTGGAATTCTTAAAGTCATTTATACTAGAAAATCGAACTTACATCAAATAGAAAATGACAGAAAGACATGTATACTATATGTACAGTCAATTGAAAGTCAACTCTAATTCAATTCAAAAAGACAGAAATTGACACATCCATATTGAAATATCTCATAATTAAATGAAATGAAATGTTTACATTATAAACATGATGTCAATAACGAAAGACTGTAAAGAAATAATAATATATGTTACAGCAGAAATGATTACATTTTCTTTATTTAGATAACGAAGTACATTTTCCATTTTCATTCCATGTGGTTTAATAGGCAGGACAGACATTTATAGCCACCTTTAAACAGCTTATTCAGTCAATTAACTCGGCTGTTGTGTCTAGTATGCACTTTGTTATCTCAACAGCTTTCTCAGCCTTTTTACAATCAAACATTTCAGATGGTATTTCATGTCGTCCCAATACAGCATCTGGATACCGCATGTAAGAATAGTCTCCAGTAATACGCTCCAAAGACGTAGCCTAAACAAATAAGGAATTATGATGATAACAAGAAAAGTAAATAACTATAATGTTGTCACTATCTACGTGCACTTATAAAATTGGGTTTGATAGCAATTTTTTGATGTAGGTTGGCGGAATGTAAACAAATACGACATCAAATTAAATGTCCAAATTAATGCCATTAAAATCTTAATATCATTTTACATATAGGTAGATTAGTCCTTAAGCATTATTTCAAATTTAAAAACACTATTTAAATAGCTGGAATTAATGTTATTTGCATGGAAATTAACGACAATTGTTCAAATCCCGCTTCAGTCAACGTGCTTTCCTTTCTATTTATTTCTTTGAACATTATTGTTTCATCTTTCAGATCCTACTTGGATAATAAAAAGGTGTTTAGTTGAAAGTATGTGTATTTATTGGCCAAATGCTAGAGCTGTCCAACAGGCAGCGTACTCCTTTTTAACAAAAATTGTATACACGTGTGATTTAAGGCAAACCATATTTCTAATGAAACTGTTAAAATATCTTAATTTACCTTGGTTAATAGTAATCCATCATCAAGACCATTGGCAATATTTCCCAATGAATGATCTTTTCGCCGAGCCATATTTGCATTTTTGGCAAACCAGGCTGCCTTTAAAGCCTTTTCAGTGGCCTTCAAATAAATAAGCACAAATTTCAAATAACTATCAATATGTACGTACAGATAAAAGTGATTGAGATTTTTTTCGTAATGACTTGAGAAACAGAAATAGTAGTAATTGTAATCTGTGAAATTTATTTTCACATTAAAATAAGTATTTGCATTTATTCCTTACTCTCTAAAAATATTTATTTTATTATTTAAAGGAAAGTTTATTTCAACGATTTACTTTACTAGAAGTTTGTTAGGAATTACATACCTGATGGCACTTATAGCACACCCAGTTAAAGCTTAAGTCATCGGCTCCTGTTGTAATATTACTAATGGCAGCTTTATAGTCCTGAACAGCTTGTCTGTGCCAGCGTTTTGCTTCTCCAACATGCTGTACAATCGCCTTCTCTGCTCTGTGATGGGCAAAATTGCCAGTACGTGTAGATCTATTATAATCGTCTCTGTTATCGTGAAAGTGTGCTGCAAGTGTACACCCTCTTCTATACACGGCATCACTTGCTGATCCAAATGTTGAACGCGACATATCAGGAGGCATTCTTCCAGTGTCACTTGTAATTTCGGCATCAATAAGCTCGTTATTCTCCAATCTGACCACTATTTCATTGATGTAGTTAAACAGACGTCCAGCATACTCTCGATGCTCTCTGTTTCGATCTGGATGCCACTGCAGCCATAAACGTCGGATAACCATTTTCCGACCAGTTTCATCTAATGTCCAAGCATCCTGTAACATTTTTCTGACACGTCTAAAGTTTTCGTCAATAGGAATGGACCCAATAGGCTCAATGTCATACATGACTAATTCTTTAACCTCCTTCAGTTTTTTTGGCTTGAATCTATATAACTTGTAAATTGGAACAGTAATATCATCGATACGACCAATGTTCACATTGTATGTTATATCGAGAACAGAAGCACCGTGATGCCTCTTGTTTTCTTTCAAAATATGTGCATACATGTAAACTGGTTCAATTAAATCGCTTGGGTATTCAACTTCAATAGCAACATACATGTATTCGTATATCTTAAATGGAGAAATGCTTTGTTCTAGGAACGCATGGAACTTTTCTTCTACGTACGTACCAGGTCGAGGAAAAATTGAAACATTCCAGGATGCAGGGAGGTCGTAAGCCTCTATGTTTAACCTATCAAGTTTCCGACTAATTTCTGAAAAATTATCCAATAATCGAAGAATTTGCGATAGATACTGAATCATTTGTTTATCAAGTCTTTCATAAGTACAAAGGTCAATCATTTTCACGAGACCATCCTTATCATCTAACAAGTCTGTTAAAATTTGATCATCAGAATCTTCTTTTTGAAAATACAATTCATGCACTGTAGTAGCTTTTTCATCTTCTGTTTGTACTTTACTGTCCGATTTTATGAAACAAGACGCTTCTAAGTCAGTCCCTTCAATTACTTGTCCTTTATATCTAAGATATGTTTTCAATCCTGACACTCTTGTCACACGAACATTTTTAAGGCGCTCCATAATGGCATTTTCGATACTGCTACTGAATGTAGCATTATCAGATTTATACTGATGCTTAACTAAGCGCAATATCCCTTCAACAACGGGCCCTGAGCGTAGAGAATATTCTATTCGTTGCGCTACATTGCATTCATATATATCCACATCGTCAGTTGAAATTTCTTCAATAATTTCTGATGACAAAATATCTGGCTTCAAATGTCTCGGCCAGTTTTCAAATGGCATAGAAGGGTCTCTAACAATGTCTATGTTCAATTCCTTAAATCCAACGAAGAAATGTACTTTTATCTTTCCTTCTAGTCGTTTCTCTATCTCATTATTGTTGGAGATTGTCAGTGTATTTGACGGGACAAGAACATTATTTCGGTCAGGAATAAATATTTCGCTAACATCCTGGAATGGTTCTCTTTCTTTATCTATTAATAGAACAATATTTTCAAGTGCTTTCCTAATACAAGCTAATATATTAAACGGAACTGGCCATTCCTTGAATTGTTGTTTAATTTCCGCTAAGACTGACGAGTAATCGGAACAAAGTGGAACTTTGTGTGAACCCAAATTCTCAAACAATTCTTCGTAAGGACCAAAACAGTTTGGTAGTTTATACAAATACGGTCTTACTTCTTCTTCTTCCTTAAGATTGACAACAACTTGACGAACCAACAACATCTTTTTATCTTCTGGATGAAAAACTATTGGAGTAACTTGAAATTTATGTTTCATTGATTCCTCAAAGCATTTCTGAAACTGTGAATAGAGCAGTTCCATTTGATATTTCACAAAAAAGGGTCGAATTGAAATGTTATCCTTTTCTAGCTCAATTTTGAAAACTTCTGCTACATTCTGACAGTGTTGAACAATCCGATCGATTGGTGGATATTCATGTATTCCAAGAGACATCGTCATGCTTTTAGTTGGTGGTAAACTCGAAATAAGGTTTTGACTTGACCAGCAGTGATCTTTATATTTTTCTGAAACTGACCCGGAAAAACATATTAGTAAATCTGCATTACTTGGTTGTTTCGCTATTACGCTTCTTTCTTTATCAATTTTTTCAGGCACCACAAAACGTATATCTTTCATTTTGAAAAGTGTCTGATTTGACCATTCTCCATTAAAGAGACAGTTGACAAGAGCAGTTGACTGTTCTACAGTTACCTTGTTGATGGGATTGTTTATTTTAGCTTCAAGGCTCTGTGCAAAATAAATCAGCATTTCCTCTGTTGGTTCCATTATCAACCCTAGAGTTTCTACAAATTTGCTCCACTCGTACCCTCTATATATCTTTGGAAGATAATTATCTTCAGACAGCATACAAGAGAAGACGGGATGTGTACAGTCATAAAGCTGGTTTACCCTTTTATATTTCCCCATAACAGGAACAAAAGGAATAGCCTTCAGCTGTTGAATAACATTAGACTGAACTCGATCAAACTTTTGACCAAATGATGTCATTAAGATTTTATTCTTTATATATTCTATATGTTCTCCCCATGCACATCTTGGTATCTCCTGAAACGTTGGTATTATGGTTTCATTGTAAACTTCAATCTCAGTCTTTGTTTGAAAATCTAAAAACTTGTATAAATTCAAAAGCTTTTCAGTGTCCTTAAGAAGTAAAATCCCAGTGTTCTGGGCCCAATCATTAATACCTGCAGAGGGTATACCTATCGGCAATACTACCACATTACCATAACCTTCAACACTCACAATTTCTCTTTGGTGAGAAATATAAAGTGGAAGATTTTTCAACATATTTTTCAGGGTAAACACATCAACATATTTTTTCATCTGACCTATAACACCATCAAAAAAGTTAAGAACTGAAATGCAGTCATCAGGTGTAGGTTTGCTCATTTGAAGTTTAGATCTGTAATAAAATAAACATTCGAGTAGTTGCACTGGCCGTTCATGTGATGGTAGAATTCTGCGTAAGTGATAGACAAGCCTTTGTGCATGTTTTGAAAAACATGAGGAATCAAGCTGCGGCAAATTCAATCTCTGGATGACTTTATTTAAAGTTTCATGTTGGAGCAAGAAACTTTTGTCATACAGATTATTTCTTTTGCTAAAAGGAACAAGCTCAAATATCATTTCTGTCCCAAAACAATGAAATGATGGCAAAAAAGACCACTCATTGAATCTAAAGATATTCCCAAAAAACAGCGTTTGATCTAGAATTCCATCTTTTGAATGCTCTAAAGATTTTAAGTGAATGAACGACAGTATTCTTTCGATGATCTCTGGTTTAAGAGGGCTACCCGCTTTTTTATCCCACAAGATGCTATTTTCAGACGCAAATACTGTAGGGTCGAATGTTTCAGCAACTAATGAAACCAAATTTTCTACTTCAAATGTTTTAACGACTTTTGCAGAATGGTATTCATTTCGATTTACCATTGGAATAACTTTGGTATGTACAAATTGATCAGCTGATCCAAGCAATACATCACACATGTCAGAACAGAACAAAGGGGTATTTTTGCTAAATGTCTTCAAGAAACCTCTGTTCGTGAGACAAAGAGGTAAACCTTCAATTTTATCCGTAAGTTTCTCATCATGATTTATATAATTCAACAAACTCTGAAGGGACATGACATCTGAAATTGTTGTTTCTTCTAGACGACTGTCCATTATTCCTATGCGACAACATGACGCATTTTCATCATCAAACGTTTTTAAAAATGTAATCACCGACTCGGGTGAGCATGTTGGAATGTATTCAACACCAGAATGAAAAATTGAATTGCTAACCCACAAAGGTGTTTCGATAACTTTCATCCCAATCTTTCTCAATGTGTTTTGGACAGACATAGAATCTTTCTTTGTAAATAATGGATTTCTGAAATCATAAATTGGTCCATTTATGTATTTTGAAACAACATTAAAAGTGCCGTTGAAATCTTTATCTGATTTAGAAAGTGAAACCCAGTTCAGATCTAGTTCTTTAGAATTTTCTTCTGGTATATTCTTGTCAACATTTGTTTTACCTTTATATGGAAATATGCTGCTTTCCTCTTCAATTAGAGTTTGATAAAAGCTACTGACAAAAGATTTCCAATAAGTGTCAGAAACATTTTCATATTTCGGAAAGAACTCATGGTACTTTTCAAGAGTGTGCACTCTCAATCTTTCATCAAATACCTCTGAAAAATGTTTGAGAACATAGTTTTCCTTCAGATAGTTAATAGCTTCTATGCATACCTGACTTAATAATTCAGCTATTACAAAATCATTCCAGGACTTTCTATGTCCTTCACTCCATAACTTCGTCCTAGCTTTATCTAAGGCAAAATGACCATTTACGTGAAATGGAAGTCCAGTTGATACAGGAAGAGGAAGAAAGCAAAACGCTTTCCCTGTTAAATTATTTTCTTTGATTTTCTTTTTATCGTTGTCTACACAAGGATGTGTTTCATTTTTTGGCCAAGGTAAAGCTATCGCAACCATTGGTGTGAGTCCAATCTCCTTTTCCTTCACTGCAGCAATAACATTTGAATATTTCTCTTTTGGTTGCTTAATTCCAAATCTATTCACAATCAACCAGCATTCATTTCGTCCTTTGCTGTCCACAATTTCAAACTTATAACATGTCTCTATGGGCTGCATGTATAAATTTAGATGTTGAACACCGACGTTAGCTTTTGCAATCTCTTTAACACTTGAAAAATACTTTTTACGAGAGATAGCATGGTCTTCAGATAGTCTTGTTTCAACGGAAAATTCTTCACATAAATCACCATTGCTTATATTTAACACTTTTATGCACTTTATGTTTTTTAAAAACAGAAGACTTTCAAACATGTCTTCTTTGAACGCCTCAATCACTGTGTCCATTTTATCGGTCGTCATAACATTGCTGCTGATAAGAGATTTTGATTTTCTTAATGGAAGTCTAAATATAGTACCCTGTCCAGATGCTTCCATACTTGGGATAGCTGGATATCCAAGAAGCATATCGGGAAAAGAGTCTTCCATAAGATCAGCATCACATTTTATTCCTGGATTTTCAGGTGTAGCATGACCTTCTAAGCAAGACATCATAGGATCAAATATACAAATTTGTCCACCTTTTCCTAACCCTGGTCCTTTAGTAAGAAACGAAGGTGTATCTGTTAAATGGTACACAGCATTAAATCCAATGCCATACTGACCGGTTTTTGAAGGGTCCTCACGCTTACTACCTATTCCAAGATTTCTAATACCATTAAAGTCATTTTCAGTAAAATAACTGTTGTTAAAAACACACAATGAAGGCCCTTGAAGTTCTTCATTTCCAAATATCTTTTCTTTATTGTAACTAACATAATTCTTTATTAAGAATATCTCAGTTGCATTTGCATCATCTGCATTTTGTATCAGCTCCTTCATGATACTTGAATCACAAGGATAGTCTTCAAGTATCCCATTCAGTCTAGTGACCAAACTTTCGTTCTGTCCAAATGGTTCAAAAAACCCGGACGAAAAAAATTCAACTATTTTCCGTTGCTTAGATTTCACACCAAGTGCTCTACCTATATCTGGTGGTATATTTCCATGTAGAACATGAAGAGAAGCAGACGACTTGTATGCTGGATCTTCTATAACCAATTCGTGTGTTGGTCTTAAAAACCCATCTATATCTGGAGCTACAATTAAAGCTTCAGTTTCCTTCAAATCTGAATAATGTATACTTTCATTTTCCATACTTTCACAAAGATTCACCAGCAAGCATGAAACAGTGTCTATATCCATGCATGTGCGGTATAAACAGTTCGTGTATATTCTTTGTAACACTGATATAAGAAACTCAACGGTAAAATGGTCTTTTACTCCAAGCGCTTTAAAAACTTTTTTCTTCTTATAGTCAAATTCTTGCAAACAATAAAGTTCAGGAATACACTCTGATTTCACCTGAAATGCAATCTTACTAGAACATACAAGATCCTTTCCCATAATAATCAGCGGCTTATCACCTATTTCCTGGAAACATTCCATTTCTAAAATTTCTGTTTCAGATTTATCACCAATAAGCCTTCCTAGCTCTTCATATACAGATTTTGAAATCTTATCTAAACTGCTGAACTGCTGCTCTGGACAACAGTATTCATCTGATAAATGATCTAGCTGTTGCAAAAGTAATTCTAATGAGGGTTGTTTTTCCACACCTAGTAATTCAAACAAATTTTCGGGCAGAGCACATTTCCGTCTTAAAAGGTTTTCATGCACGAATAGGCCTACACTACCGATACATGTACTTAGATTCTCCCGAAACAAACATGTTGGTTTTTCAAATCGTACAGATTTCTCCTTCTGTTTTGAATGGTCGGTGCAATATGAATTTGAGACATTATCTGATAGTTTATCTGCTTTCCATGTGAATCGCCAATAAGGAGGTGAGTGTAGCACGGGCATCAAAAGAGTCTGTCGAAGCTCCCTTATGAATGCAATGTCTTTTTTTAGTTCTTGAATTACATCAAATCTTCCACAGTATTTGATTATTTGGACTGATCTTTCCAGAGCACAGTTGCCACAATCTGTTATTAAATGATTTATTGTCTTGCACCTTTGCAAAAGCATGGCTCGTGTAAGATACTTATTGTTCATGCCTAGCGCGTTAAGTTTGTCCAATATTTTATTTGTACAAAAGCCTTCTGATTTCAAAGGAAATTTCTCATCAATGACATTAAACATTCCTGCAATCTCTGATGTTGGGCAAATCAATTCATTTGGTCTATGAAGCACATTGTTTGGTTCAGTAGGGATACATTTTGTAGCTTGCAATTTCTGAATGACCGTTTTACTTTTACATTGCACAGCATGCAGTATCATTTGGTTCCTTTGTGGCAATTTATTTTGCCAAAACACTGAGTCTATTGAGTTTAACAAATGAATCATAAGTTCTTCTTCATCTACCATAGATTCTTTGAATAATGAATTGCTTTCAGGGTTCCAATTTTGGAGTAATGACAGAATATGACCAGGCATTTCAATAATATGCTTACCAGTACTTATTGGCACAGACCCCAGAAAGTCAAAAGCAATATGTCCAATCATTTTATTGTGTCTAATAGCAGGATCAAGATAAACTACTTCATCAAAAGATACCCACGCATGTTCACCTTTAAAAAGTTTAATGTTATCTAAGATAAGCTTTTTATAAAAGCTGTGTAAAAACGCATTGACATCATTACATCCGCTTAATGGCCATAGCGAGTGGTAAATGTAACCTTTAGGATTTCTTTCAGATAGATATGACAAGAGGTTAACAAAACTCTGTACAACAGAGTCTTCCATTAATGCCTGGTTCCAAGTGATGCCATCCCTGCTTCTTTTATCATCTTCCGAAAACCATGCAAGACCTCTTCTATCTGGCATGACACTAAAACAACCATTTATGTGCATTTGCAAATCTGTTTGTATTGGCAAAGGCAAGAAACAAAACAAGTGACCAACTCTGTAAAATCCTATTGGAACATCTTTAAGCACAAGGGGACATTTGTCTGTTTTATTTGTAAGTGGTATAGCAATAGCTGAAAGAGGAACTGCCCCTTCTTTAGACATTCTCTTTGAAAGCATTAATGACCCTTTTGTTCCAAGCGCCCATGAAACAATCCAGTTTGTTGCAGATGATCCTAAATGCTCATTGCTTTGTAATTTTAGCAGTACACTTTCATACAATTTTTGACTGATTTCAACATTATGGATTTCATTAAAATTTCCATCATTTTCTAAGACTGCGGGCATACGTTTTAATACGCTCTGAGCTGGAATAGCATCCGTTCCATTTGAATATTTAGTACATGTAGTTGTCTTTTCAACACTGAAGAGTAGTTTTGCTTGAGAAGGGTCAGTTGCATTTTCTGGCAGATAATATATTTGTAAAACCTTTACATTTTGTGTAAAAAGTAGTATATTTCCAGCGTTTTCTATTAATTGCTTCAACAATATTACCACTTCATCTTTTGAGTATGGTTTACTGCAAATCTCGCTTCTTGCAGCTTGAGAATCAGTTCTTAGAGGGAGTCTGAACAAAGTACCGCTGTATCCTGTAAAGCTTTTATCAGGTAAATCACAACCAAAGACTGACTTATATGGTTTGAACTGATCTACATTGCGTCGAATTATGTTTTGTTTCGAAAGCCTGACTCTTAATCCAGTTCCGCGTGACTGTCTTGCCTCATCTAAATATGTCTCGTGTGGATCAAAAATGATCATATCCTTACCAGATATAAAGCAAGGGACATCTGTTAAATTGTAAACAGAACAAAATCCTAAACCAAATTTACCGATTTTGTCCTTACTTTCCGCCTTTGTAGCTCCGTTTAGTTTAGTGATATTTTGCAGATCTTTCTCTGTGAACAAAGAATCATTAAACACCCAAAGAGCTGGGCCTTGGCAAAATCTAAGGTCAGAACTCAATAATTTTTCTGTCCGCTTTGCATCGTCATTTTTCCTTTCATCGTATAGGAACTTAACAATGGTTGCTCCCGAATCATCTGCGTTTTGCACCAGTTCTTTTGGAACAGATAACCCATCTGTATATCCTTCTTCCAGTAGTGTCCTTATCCTGGTTGTTAGTGATTCATGAACACCCCATTCTTCTACCCCAAATTCTTCAGTAGCTCCAATTATCGTTTTCCTTTTCATGGATTTTACTCCAAGGTCTTTGGCAACATTGGCTGGTACGATTGGATTAACAATATAAAGACTTTTCTCCTCCTCTTCATCAAGTTCATCTTGGTCTTCATCTAATATGCAGACAGATACAGGTTGTAAGGAAAGCCTTTCTGGCAATGGATTTTCAACCAACATAAGCATTTTTGATTCTTCTACATTAAGACTGCCATCATTCTGTTTCCGTGCAAGACATTTTAAAATCTTTAAAGCAATCTCTGTGTCGTGTGATAATGATGAAGTGTTTATTGTCTCGGCAGACTCGTGCTTAAATTTTATATCCTGTAATGTGGTCAGTAGTAATTCATTGTTTTGTTCTAAATTACACCCAAGTTGCAGAAACAGCTCATTCATGTTATGAAACTCTTCAGGCACATAATAAAAGTAAGGTTTTAGATCTAGATCCCCTTCCCGTTTAGTTATTATTACGCTGCTTGGTTTCACAAAGCTATAACCAGTCCATAAAATATTTTCATCTTTGAGCGTATCGTGTAGTATTAAATATTTGCCTTTACTTTCATGTAAGTAATTGTAGATTTGCTGCGTAGCTTTCACATAATCTGGTTTGTACTTGACTTTGTAATGCTGTCGAATATATGCTAATTGGTTCAACACTATTTCCAATGATGGATATTCTTCCCATTTGAAATATTTTATTACTTTTTGTGATGAACAATCAACAATCGGTACTGTAGCTCCTGCAAAGAGACTCAATTTACTATGTTTAGCTTTGTCAGGCTTACAAAGTTTCACATTTTTAGAAAACCACGGCAGTCCATTTGGGTAATTTTCAGGTGGAGTTTGAACCACTGGAATACACTGAATTGACATCAGAGCATTTCCTAGAGTAGTTGATCCGTTGCAATAATGGTCTAACAAACTAGGATTGTCAACTAAAACTTCCATGAATGCATCTGCTTTCTTTGACAAGTCGTCAGACTTTTGTGCATCTCCCATCCACAATTTTAATGAATTTGCCACTTTCAGCATGATACAACCATTTAAATTTTCTTTACTTTTCAGACCAAGACTTCTCAGTGCTTCTAATTCTCTACCACTAAACTCAATAGATCTTTCAGGAAATAATGATTCCCCAATAAGTAATCTTTGAAGCAATGAACATGAAGGATCAAAAAGATCCGATGGTACGTGCAGCATTGTGTCCATTGTCAGAAAAGGTAGCTTTGCAGCATTATTACATATTGAGTCTTTATTTTCGAACAATTTAAAATTTACCAGGAAAAATGTCATAAAGGTTGTAACCTGACCACTACTTTTTGACACTTGTAATTTTTTAATGGTACTCAAAATCAAAGCTTCTAATGTTACAATGTCCATGTCGAGTAACTTTATCAAATGTTGATCTTCAGTGTCTACTTTTATACACAAGAATGGCAAATCGACCCCTACAGGGAAGTTGATGTTTTCAGGAATGACTTTCTCAACTTTAACAACTGAACTATACTGACCCTCATCTTCCAATGAACGCCCAGCTCTAAACAAGTGAAGCTTTCGGAACATTTCTACAAGCTCTGGTTCTAAACAGACCAAGGAAGATGCAAACTGGATTAAAACTTCTCGTATCTGACCATCCATTTCTAAAGCTTGGTTCAATTTGAACACGGCATTTTCTCCAATCTTATTGTACACTTCACCAAACAGATAAATAATTTCTTCTTTTGTTGGTCGCTTGACAAAGTTTTGAATTGATTCAAATTGAATCCATTCTGGAAGGCTTGGCAGAACCTTTACATTCAATGCTTTAAGACATTTAACTAATCCATCATTTAGACCGCATTCTTTGATGTGTTCAATTTCTTTTATGATAATAAAATCTGACAGTCTTACCAGCTCAATAACATCTGGATCCGTCCAGCTTCCTTGAATCAGGATCGGCACTAGAGGTATATCTTTGAAATACTTTACCATGTCTTTGTTGATGAGTACATGCCATAAGTGTTCCATCCACTGTATTGGTAGGCTCGAAGATTTTGTCCATCGCACATTTTCAACAGATCCAAAGTGACACTGTAGTGTTTGAGTCATTAACATCTTCGCCAACTTTATATCTAATCTTTGAATCTGGTAGCTTTCTAAAATGTATGATGCATATTATAATTAGAAAACATTTTTTAAACAGAAAATACAACTACAGCTATAATCTAAGGTGATTCATATACCCCACTTAATATACAGGTATGACAACTGAGTGGTCTGAAGCCAAATTTGACTCGACTTATATAAAGAAATGTAACACCAGCCTTGTGTACAAAATATTAACAAAATCTTCACTCGAGTAATTGACGGGAAACCATTACTCATTTTAAGCAACAGTGACCTAGAATAAACATGACATTTGGGATACTTAGCTAAATTTTGTTCATCATCTATCTAAAAAAACATATTTATGTATGTTTAATGAATGGCAAAAGCGATGTATAACAGAAAACAATCTATTCAAAATCATTACTTTTGACATGCTAGTGTGACCTTGACCCTATTTCGTAAGATTAATCCAACACAGTATAGGTTATAAGGCAACTTTCTAGTTTAACTAATAAAAGAAGACCTATGGTGCCTCTCTGTACTCTAAGGCAAAAACAGGTACATGAGAACCACCGACGTTCCGTAAGCAAGATCGATAGCTTTGTTACATAAAGAATCCAAAGCTTGGCTTGAATCTGCAGATGAACTGCACGAACTGACCAAAGTCCCATAAAGATTCATGACTCTTGGTCGAACACTTTTTGAGTAACGAAAGACACAAGTCGAAATTTGCAAATTATTTACTAAGACAAGATCAATTTCTATACAAATACTAAATTAATCCACAATCAAATCCCAAGATGCATAACTGACCAAAAGTACTGTACAGTTTATTGACTCTAGGTGAAAAAGTTTTTGAGATAAGCACGACACAAGTTTAACATTTTGAATTTATACTAAGTCAAGGGAAATACTTCTAACAAAGCTAAAAAAACTAAACACGAAATCCCCTAGGAGTACAACTGACATGCTGAACAACATTCCTGTAAAGTTTCATAACTCTAGGTCAACATTTGCCCAATGGTTAAGAAGATGTTAGAAACAAAAGTTGATGCAAGACTTACACAGCCAAATCATAATAGCTCATAATAAGCACATTGTGCTCAGGTGACCTTAATAAATCTACTTGGGTGGTTGAGCAAAAGATCCCATTTAAAGATTATTTTTAATTTCTAAGCTTTTGTGATTACCTTGTTCAGTGGATTGGAACTGTTTTCTTAATTTTTTAATGACCACTGAAGGATCATTCCTGAATATTGTCATTACTATTGGTGAAGTAGTTAACAGGAACAGGTTATTTCGGTAAAAATGTTAAAAGACAAATGTCCACGGATATCGCACACTGGGGTATTACAGTATCTAAGCTTGCGCACTTGTGATCTGGACTTAATGATCAAGGCTACTGTGATCATCATCTTTGACCCACTGACCTCAAAATTAAAAGGGGTCATCTCCTAGTCATGACTAAAAAATCTCAAACTAGAGACACATGCAAATTAAGAGAAGGGGACTTTTAATTGCTTACTTTGTGAATAAAAGAAAACATCAATAACTCATTCCAAAACCCAAGCCGAGCCAATTATGACCACAGAACACTACAGTTTGAAAATTCTTGGTAAACTCGGGTCAATAAGACAACGTTTAATGCCAGATTTCAAATCTAAAAGCCATCAAGGTTTTAGAGAAGACGGTTTTTAAAAGTTTTACTATATACATGTTAGGAAACATTATTCTTCAGAGCAGGATACCAGGGCCATTAGAAGTATACAATATTGATATGCCATATATAAATGTACCATGCACATGTATAGGTTGTGTTAAGAAAAGTATCAAACTTTTGAAGAGAAGTTTACTGTATAAAGTCATATTAAACTAAATAAAAACAAGGGTAACATTTTTAATCCATGTCTGATATAACTTGTAGTCAGTTTGTTTCATATATGAATGATATGATAATTAGTAATGGTTCAGATGATGATGTTTCAATCTAAATGTCAGCTTAAGCCCTTTATCTTCAGAGGAAGAGATAAGGTTTAACTTAACAAGCAATTATCATAGTATTGCAAGCAATCCACAAGTCCCCTACCGGTTAGAACCCCAGCAACATTCTGATTTCAATTTTACCAGTGAATGAATGACATGAATGAACTTAAATCTTTTGAGTTCTAAGTTTGTCTATTTCACAGTAATGTGTTAAGTTTCCCTGCCTAGTAAGGCAATTATGTTTATACAACCTTGTCATATTATTATACGATGTGGGATTTTAAAGTAAATCCTATAAGGAATGAAGAAGTTGGAGAAAAAATACCAATTTCTCGAAAAAAATCTAAGTTCAAGGGGGACATAATTCTGGAAATAGTCTTGCTAGAGTATTTAACCTTCTCAAAATGTTGAGTGATAATAAGAAACATATATATGAAGTTTGAAGTAGATACATTAGGAAATAAAGAAGTAATTTAAAAAAGACAACATTTTTTCCATAAAAATTCTAAGTTCAAGGGAGGTAATACTGATAATTTTTGTGCTAGAGTTGTAAACCTTGTCACATATGATGTGGTTGATGACCAGAAACTTATATTTAAAGCTTGAAGTAAACACCTTAAGAAATAAAGAACTTATAGTGAAAAAGCTGAAAAAATTAAATCAGAAATCTTGAAATCCAGGCTATTTGTTGCCATAGCAACCAGAATTTTCAACATAGGAAGAAAAGAAAAAGATGTGCATAATCTGCAGACTGCCATCTACCCATATTTTATATTTCATAAAAATATTTTCAGTACTTTCTGAGTTATTACTGGATCCAGTTTATGTGTTAAATTTGACATATTTTCAGACTATTTGTTGCCATAGCAACCAGAATTTTCAACATAGGAAGAAAAGAAAAAGACGTGCATAATCTCCATACTGCCATCTATCCATATATCAAGTTTCATAAAAATATTTTCAGTACTTTTTGCGTTATCGCGGGATCTAGTTTTGTGGACGGACGGACTGACGGACTGACAGACAGACGGACGGACTGACAGACAGACGGACGGACGGACGGACGGACGGACGGACGGACGGACGGACGGACAGACAGACAGACAGACAGACAGACAGACGGACGGAGGGGACTTTAGGTAGGGGACTAATAAACATGTACAAATAAAGAAAGCCCATGGACCATCCCTTCACCCTCACCCTAACCCACTCCACTTGGCATGGCCAAAATTAAAAAATCTTTGTAAAAATCCAAAGATGATGTTCATACAAATATCTAAGCACTAGCACTCTGGGTTTCAGAAAACAAAATTTACTATAAACATAAAGAAAACCTATGACAATCCAGAGAGCGGCCAATTTTTGACCCTACAGATATAATCTGTATAATTTTGGTTAAGGCTGTGTAATGCCAGGCAAGTTGCCAGATGATGCGTTTTGCAAAAGAAGAGTGATATATAAATTGGTTTGCAAAACACCTGTATTATTATTGACTACAGTATAAAATGATGAAATAGTAACATGAAGTATTCTGTCGCCCTATCAATTACTATGAAATACACGACTAACACGCTAGAAGAATACTAATCTACGTACAAACATAAGATGATGCATTATCCAGCAAGACCTAAATCTTAAATAACTGTCAATTCCTTTTTTATAACTTTTCCTTGTTGCAGATCTATGTATTTAACAAGATATGTCTGTAAAACATGTATGCCCCCTATCGGCAGCCAATTAGTCATGTGGCCAGGTTATTATGACTGACGTTTGACCTAGTGACAAAAGATTCAATAGGTGTTATCTACTGGTCATGACTTATCCCTAGGTCATTGTGACTGAAAAGGTTTTGTGCAGCAATTTATTAACAAAGTTATCACAAAACTTACCAAATAATATAAGCAAATATTTTATCAATTATGTAAGCCTCCTGTATGAAAGACAATTTGTTATATTACATTAGACATTGAAATAATTATACCAAAAGCATTTTTAGTTTAATTAAAAATATCAACCAAGGCAACTTGAGTTATTGGTCGGAAACGGTTTTTTGTACAAGATCAATGTGACTTTGACCTTTGACATTTAAATTAATAGGGGTTACTACTGGCCAAGACCAATTCACCTGTGAATTATGAAGGCAAGGGCCCATCAGTTATTGAGATATTTATCAGGAACCAATTATACCTCTGACCCTTGACCCCAAAAATCCAGAGGTTAATTTTTCTGACCAAAAGCAATGCATTTGTAAAGTTTGAAGATCAACAGTCCTTTAGTTGTCGAGTTATTGATAGGAAACTGTTTTGACATAAAAGGTCAGTGTGACCATTCCCTGACCCCGAAATCAATAAGGCTCATTTACTGGCCAAGACCAATGCACCTAAACAGTTCAAGGGCCAATAGCCCCAGGGTTGTCAAGTTATTGATCGAAAAGAGTTTTAACCTACAACGTCAATATGACTTTGACCTTTGACCATTTGCCACGACCAATGCGCCTTCAAAGTTATAGGGCCAAAAGCCCATGGATTGTCAAGTAATTGATCGGAAACAGTTTTTAACTACAAGATCATTGTGACCTAGATCTTTAACCCTTGACCCCAAAATAAAAAGGGTCATCTACTGGCCAAGACCAATGCTCCTATGCAGTTTGAGGGCCAAGGGCCCTTTGCTGTCAAATTATTGATTGGAAACTGTTTTACCTACAAGGTATTTGACCTTGACCTTTGACCCTATGATCAAAAAATCTACAGAGATCATTTACATGACAAGACCAATGCCTCTACAAACTTTGACGGCCAACAGCCAATGGGTTGTCAAGTCATTTACCTGAAATCGTTTTTACCTACAAGGTCAATTTGACCGACCCCAAAATCAATAGGGGTCATCTACTGGTCATGAACAATCCCCAATACCAAGTTTGAAGTTCCTAGGCCTAAGCGTTCTTTAGTAATTGATTGGAAACCATTTTGTATACAGACAAACGGACCAATAGACCGGCAGACAAGTACAAAGCAATATACCTCGTATTCTTTCAAGGGGGGCATAAAGAGTACATAATGATGTTTAACTATATGCTGTTTCATAGTATGGAGACTTGAATTGAAAACGTGTCTGAGTTAAATGGAAAATAAGAGACCAAATCTGAAATCAAATCCATTTTGTAAAGTCAGAATGTACTATTTCAATTTCATAATTTTATCAAACTGCAATTCTGCTAGCTTTAAAAATAATAGATTTTTCCTGCAATTATTTCCCAAAAACTATTTTTCAAAAGCAATAACAGCACAGGTCTTCACATTACCTTTTTACATTATGCACATTACACAAACAAGAGAGACATGATGGCCCTGAAATCGCTCACCAGTGTATAGGCCCCCTGGGTGTGGCCAATTTTAACCCAAGGGCTTTTATTAAAACAAACTTGGTAGAGACCCACTAGAAGACTTTTCATGATTAATATCTAAGCTCTAGCTATTTAGGGTTTTCAAAAGGAGATTTTTTCAGTTTTTACTATATACAAATAAGGAAAATCAATGACCCCCTGGGGAGGGGCCAATTTTGACCCCAGGTTTTTTTTTAACTTGGTAAACACTGAGTAGACGATGTTTCATGCCAAAGATTTAAGCTCTAGCTCTTTTGGTTTTTAAAAAGAAGGTTTTTTAAAGTTTTTCCTTTCGGTTGCCTTGGAAACCAGAGTTCCAAGTCCAAGTTCCGAGCAAGCCAAGTCCCAGATGTAAATCAACCGATATAGTTCGTAACAATTTTGTAAACAGCCCCTCAATTTGGTAAATGTCAGGGATTTTTTAAACTAAGCAGGAACAAGATTGTATTTGTGAAAAAATGCTATGCCACCGCATTAATATAGCAGAAAAAGATTTTTTTGTTACTATACAATTGAACTTTGCCATAATGCGGTAGTGTCTAGTGAATTTGGGGGTCAAGGTCATATTTCAGCATGTCAAATCATTACACACATGTGCAAATGTGTCTAATGTTAAGATACAAATGCCATAGTGCAATAATTGATTCAAAAATAAAATAATTTTTCATTTATGAAAAATAGGTATTAACTGTATAACATAGCTGTATTAAACTTTGAAATACAGTTACTTTTTCTTAAATACCATCTTTTCAATTAAGCATTACTAATTTCTTAAAACATAATCATTATTAAATACATGGTGTGAATCAAAATGTCCTTATAATGTGCTCAAACTGTTTCATTTAACATCTCTACAAATCTCATAACTGTCTTGCTAGAATCATTACATAAATATCTCTGAAAAGCATGACCTAGGTATTGAATATTTTACATAAAAATTGCAGAACATGTATTAATCATTCCAATGTAAGTTATTTCCTTTCGCACAAAAAGATTTTTTTAAAATTTTACTGTATGTTCATAATGAAAATCAATGACACCGGAGCCGGTCCAATTTTGACCCAAGGGCTATAATTAACAATATTGGTAGAGGAAAAGGCCTTATGAAAAATATCTAAGCTCTAGGGCAATTTGGGTCTTTACAAGAAGATTTTTAAATTTATTCTTATTATCTATTGTTTGCCAACCTGATTTCTGCATGGAATCAAATTTTTTGAACAACTTTGGAAGCCCTTCACCCAAGGAACAATCCTGCCAAGTTTGGTTGAAATTGGACATATGGTTTTGCACAAGCAGATTTTCTAAGTTCACTATATAATGTAACACACACACACACGCGCTCACGCGCGCGCACACACACACACAAACACACAAACACACAGGTGAATAACTATATGCCATCGCAGATGCGGTGGCATAAAAATGATAAAATGTTTAAAAGTTTAAAATTGGTGGGATGGTGTATCTGTTCAATATATAATTAACAATAATTTTGTTTCAGTCTTTTGCATGAATATTTTTATTTGTTCAGTTCTAAGAGAATGTTGTTTATAAGGATGATATTATAGCTAATTTTGAGTTCCCTTATTTCCTAAAAAGAGCAATTCTAATACCCAAGCTTTTATTCAGGCAAGTGTCAGTAACTCGTATTGTAAATATTGTTTACATTTTGCATGCAGGTGTCCTTTAAGGCATAATTACTGACCAATATTATTTTGTCAGTCCCTGATAGTGCTCAGTAGGATGGTGGTGAAACCTAAAAGCACTAAACTGAACCTATTTTTTTTCTTTTTTTAGTTGAAAGTCGCACCAACACAGTATAGGTCATATGGCAACTTTCCAGCTTTACTGGTGGAGGAAGGCTTCAAGAGTGCATTATTTCAGGCACAAACTGGCACCCAAGAAGAACCACCAATGTTCCTTAAGATAGCTGGATAGCTTCCTCACATGAAAGAAGTCCCAGCAGAATTTGAATCCACAGCAAAACACAGGGATGTGGTTTGAAGTCAGCAACTTAAACTACTCAGTCACAGACTCCCCATGACATTTTCTTTAATAATGGATAATAAAGGGTAACTAACCTGAATTACATATTTTTTCAATGAATTCTGTAAGCTGTGGTCCAAGTTTTGCAGATTCCATTACAATTCTATTCTCTTGGCCTGGAAACATCTTCACAAATGCATCAGAACAAAGGTAAATGGGCTGACTTCCTTTCCTGAATTCAATCCACTTGTCAGAGGCCAATGGTAATAACTCTAGGTCTTGAAGAATGGCTTCATTTCCTAGTAAATAGCCTAAGATATTTATTTTGTCCTTGTGTGTCAATTGCTTATATTGTTGTTGTTGTTTCAGTTGCAAAGCTAATGATTCTGGGGTGAGATCTTTTATGTATGGAAAATGTGATTGCAAGGTGTCAAACAAGGAAAATGGAATGTCAACATACTGGACGCTTATTTTCTGGAAACATCTCACAACAGATTCCTGTAGTGCAACATCACCTTCATTACTTGACAATGTCCTAAATGTTGCAAAGAATGCTCTTCTCAAGTCGATCCATTCCTGTGTGTGCATTCCATATAAAATTTCTCTTTTACCAAGATATTCATAAAGTTTATTTTCTAACTCCATCCATCTCTTGTGGGTCTTTCTTGGTGATGATTTACATGTTGGCAGTGTGTTATATACGGCCTTTATAGATATGTCATCATTTGAATTCTTCACTGAAACTTTTATAATTTCTAAGACAAGTAATTCATATGCTTTTGGAAGGGCTTCCTCAATTAGAGCTTTGTTCCAAAGAATTGACTTGTCATCTATTGGCTTTCCCTCTTGTTCCTCGGTCTCCCATTTCATATGGTGTCGGTTTTGGCTGAGTGCAAAGAAACCATTTACATGCACAGGTAACCCAGTCAACCTCTCACCTTCCTTTGGCAACGGCAGGAAACAAAAAACATGTCCCTCAAAGTCATCATCAATTTCTTTAAGAGGTGTTGCAACTCCAACATATGGGCTATATCCTAGATTTTTATCTTGTATCAATTTTTGGAAACCAGCTGATGCACTTTCATTTACAAAGTAGTTCACAACCAGCCATTCCTGATGCTTCTCTGTACCACCAGACAACATGCGTATTACAAGGTGTATTGTAGAATGTATATCTGGACATTCAGAAGATATATTTTGGTTCTGAATTTGGTCCTTAAACGCTTGCCGGGAACGTCTTACAGCACCATCTTTGTCCTCAATTTCCAGTTGGAGAGTTTCACTTATTTTTCTATCCCCGTCCCTGGTATGCAATGATATTTTCTCAATATTTTTAAGAAACAGTAATATGTTTGATGCATCTGATGCAAATGAATCAAATAGATTGTTAACCTTACTTTCATTGTACAAAGTTTCTGAAAGATCGGACGGGTTTTCACGAAGTGGGAACCAAAATATGGTACCTTGGAAGCCATCTTCTTGCAGAGATTGTCTGCAAAGACCAAATGTATCCTCTAAGGCTTCCCAAAATGCTTCTGCATCTAGTCCATCTTCCTCATATTCCTCAAGCGCACACAGGTCTAGTGTAGCATTTACTCTTTCTGCAGATTGCTGTGGATTTATCAGAAGTACTTTATCACCGCTTATGACACAAGGAAAGTCTGAAATTACATTATGACAAAACTTTTTTAATAATCTAAAAACATATTTACATGATGATTAACAGGTTTCTATCAGATGACAAAATATAAATGAATTATTTTGAGTTACCTTTTCTAAACTTCTCTGCAGTAGAGAAGCCCCTTTTTGCATGCTGGTTTACACATAATTATATTACACTGATTAATATTTCATTATGATATCATATAAACCAGCGGAGGGATCTGGTAACAATTTAAGTCTGTCAGTCTGAGGTAATTTCAAATATAATTATTATTGTAATATCTTAGGTTTTCAAGGTCAATCAGTCCAATGCTTGGCCATTTTTGGGGGATTACATATGCCATATTTTAAGTCTATTTGTTGCCACAGCAACTAAGGAAAAACAAAAAGGTCTTCATTATCTCCAGACTGCCAAGTTTTAAAAAAATATTTTCAGTTCTTCTTATGTGTTCACGGAATCCAGTTTTGTAGACTAATGGATAGATGGACAGAGGGTAAACCTAAAGTCCCCTCCAGTTAACCAGTAGGAGACAAATAAACAAGAACTGTTTTTGGAAACAGACAAATACCCACCAAGCAGGGTCAAGTAGGGAAACCATGATGGCTTGCATTAAAGGCTAATAACAATAATTTTACCATAAAAAGAATGTTTTTCTATATTCACATTATAACAAATATTCTCTCATATTCTCAGTTAGCCAAATTTTTTTTAGTTGTGACATGTTTTCCTTATGCCACATACATATGCCTAGTTCATGGATGGCAGAAAGGATGGATATAATTATTGATGTACTTATATGAAATTACAAACCTTAAAAGTCATACATTGATCTTAATGCTACAAACTCATCACAGATTGTTTTAAAGAACCATATTCTTTAAAAAGGTTTTTTTTTAATCTGTCACTCAGAATGACAAAAAGACTGGACATGCTGTCATATCATGACTTTTAACATTCAAGAGCTGGACCTTTTGGCAGATGAACTAAATTTTGCTCATTACATATAACCTTAATAAGCAGCATATTCATGCATAATTATTTTCAATGTTCATCCTGGATGACAAAGCGTTGCACAAAAGAAGACAAACTATTCACAATTGTCAAGTTTGACATATTAGAGTTACCTTGACCTTTGAAGTGGACACTTGACCTCTATTGACGACACATCATCACGTTTAACATGTTTATTCCAAATTATATAAAAATCCATCCAAGAATGGATTTCAAAATAAGTTTGAATAAATATGTTAGACATGATGATGTGTCAGACATAGGGGTCAAGTATCCACTTAAATGGAAAAATATATCATGACTTTGGAAAACAAGTGTGACCTTGACCTTTTAGGTAGGGACCTGATTAATGCTGGTGATAAGTTAGCATGTATATAATGTCAAACACATTTATATTAAAAAAAATTAAAATCATTTAGAGTGGACAAAATTGTTGAACTGGCAGACACATTTTTTAACTTAAATGTAAAATTTAAAATTTGTATAATGATGTGTGAACTTCAAGTTTGACATTGACCTTTAAGATAGGGACCTATCTATCTGGTGGTGTGAACTCACAGAGGAACAGACAGAGGACAGAGAAATGATGCCTATGTCATGGCTACTCTGAAGCATGCCACAGCTATCTTGTAGCAGCTGAAAAAAAGCATTAATGGGTCAAAATACTTTTTTATTCAAGAGCCTTCCACTAAGCCACATCGAAATCGTTTAACCAAAAACCCTGTTAAATATGAGGAAATACTTCAGGTACAATGAAACCATGTTTGACTTTTTCTTATTTCTAAAATAAACAAGAGGGCCATGATGGCCCTGAAGTCGCTCACCTGTATAAAGGCCCCCGGAGCGGGGCCAGTTTAAACCACAGGGCTTTTATTTGAACAAACTTAGTAGACAACCATTAGAAGATGTTTCATGCTAAACATCTAAGGTCTAGCTCGTTGGGTTTTTTATAAGAATATTTTTTCAAGTTTTTTTCTTTACACATAATTATAGTTAAAAACAATGACACACCTGGGACAGGGACAGTTTTGACCCCAGGGCTTTTATTTGAATAATCTTTGTAGACACTTACTAGAAAATGTTTCATGCTTAATATCTAAACTCTAGCTATTCGGGTTTTTTCAAAGAAGATTTTTAAGTTTTGCTATACACATATAAGGAAAATCAATGTCCCCTGGGGCGGGGCCAATTTTGACCCAAGGGCTTTTATTTGAACAAACTTTGTAGACACTCACTAGAAGATGATTCGTGCTTAATATCTAAACTCTAGCTATTTGAGTTTTTTCAAAGAAGATTTTTTAAGTTTTTGTTATACACATATAAGGAAAATGAATGACCCCCGGGGCGGGGCCAATTTTGACCCCAGGGCTTTTATTTGAACAACTTGGTAGACACTCACTAGAAGATGTTTCATGCTTAGTATCTAAACTCGAGCTATTTAGTTTTTTTCAAAAAAGATTTTTTAAGATTTTGTTATACACATATAAGGAAATTCAATGACCCCCGGGCGGGGCCAATTTTGACCCCAGTGCTCTTATTTGAACAAACTTGGTACACATCCAATAGAACATGTTTCATGCCAAATATCTTAGCTCTAGCTCTTTGGGTTCTTTAAAAGAAGATTTTTTTAAGTTTTTACAATATGCATATAGGGAAAATCAATGACCCCCTGGGGCGGGGCCAATTTTGACCCCAGGGCTTTTATTTGAACAAACATTGGTAGACACCCATTAGGAGATGTTTCATGCTAAATATCTTAGCTCTAGCTCTTTGGGTTCTTTAAAAGAAGATTTTTAAGTTTTTACTATATGCATATAGGGAAAATCAATGACCCCCTGGGGCGGGGACAATTTTGACCCCAGGGCTTTTATTTGAACAAACTTGGTAGACACTTACTAGAAGATGTTTCATGCCAAATATCTAAGCTCTAGCTCTTTGGGATTTTTAGAAGAAGATATTTAAAGTTTTTTCTTTTGGTTGCCATGGCAATCAAGAGTTTTGCATGGAATTAAATTCTTTGGACAATTTTCAAAGGTGACAACCAAAGGAACATTCCTGTGAAGTTTGGATGAAATTGGCTTAGTGGTTTATGAGGAGTTGTCATTTAAAGTAAAAGTTTACGGACGGACGGATGGACGACGGACGGACAACGGACGAAAAGCGATCACAAAAGCTCACCCTGTCACTTTGTGACAGGTGAGCTAAAAAAACAGGAAAGATTTTATAGTATAGGTAATTCCTACAAAACACTTTTTGTAGTTGTCAGAGTGCAAGAAGAATGTGAAGTCTGACCAGGATTCGAACCGGGAATCCTCGGAACACCATCCCACAGCACTACCAATTGAGCAATCAGCTGCTTTCATATCTTCTCCCTTAAAAAATGAACAGGTCTTAACCCTGACATTCTCCGCGCTAAAATTTAAAATTTGTCCTCAAGTTTCCAAGATTTACAGAAGAGGGTGTATTAAACTCTATATCTTATGATATGCAGTCACAGCCAAATGTCACACATTGAGAAAAATCAGTAGCCTGACTTAGACTCGAATCCTGGGCTGCGTTTCATGGAGAGTCCTAAGATAAAAATTGAGGCAATTTTGCATTTTAAAGAAAATCTTAAAAAATGTCCAAACTTATGACTCCTATATTTATGACCAAAAACAGTCCTAAGTCAAGGGTTGTTTTAAGGTATCTTAAGATTGTCCTAAGTCAAAACCACTCCAAAATCAAAGATGGCAGCGTTCATGGTAGTGTTTTGAAGACGGAGGCCCCTGTGCCGAGGCGAGTTTTCAAGGACAGGTCAAAGGCGCTGGACATCTAAACTGACGAGGAGTTGATAAGTCGATACTGTACAAATTTCCAAGGGAATCGATCATGCAAAACCGATTTAGTGAAAGGGGATATTGAGAATAATTTAATTTTACCCGTGAAATATGGTGCTATATCAGTCAAATATATTTCATATTTTTTAAAAATAAATATGAAATATAAATATGAAAGTGGGCAGAGTTAAAACTCATATTTATTTTAAGGGACTTCTTGTGCCATTTTGTTTGAAAAATCTGATAAATACAAAACAACTTTTTGTTGAATTTTGTTTTGAAAACTATCTAGAATGCTAGAAAATGGTCTAAGAAAATAAATCCGAACCCAAATATCTTTGATTCAGTCATTAACGATGTACAGACGTTTAAAGAGTTGTTTACATTACATCACAATGTAGCGCGAAACAGCGCGTGTCATTGTATTTTGTAACTTTTTTCAGCTGAGCGAATTTGTCATATTAGTCTTAAGTTTACGACAAAAGATAGGACAGTTACTTGAAACGGTCTTAAGTGCAAAAACTTTTTCTCCTTAAGTTGGTCATAAGTCATGAAACGCAGCCCAGGACCCTCAGAACACGATTCTGCTGCCCTACTGACTTATCTATTCAGCCACATGCACATCTACCAACCTAAATAGTGAACAGTTCTGAACTGTGACAAAACAAGAGCCTGTTGAATCGGGTGATGCTCCCCGACTAGGTTTTGAACAAAGAAAAGTATATCTTTTGTAGTTTCAGAGTTATGTCCCTGAGACAAAGTTCAAAGTGTGATAATTCCAAACTTAGGCAAGGCAGAGTTACTGTTCTTTGAACTGCACTACTACTCAATGAGATATATCTACTGACTTGCGCGTGACACGTCGTTTCAATATGGTGATCATTTCTGTTAAATAGTTGTAAAATCCGACTTCAATGGGCCAGACACGATTTTGCTGCAAGGTCATGCTGTGACCTTGACCTTCAAGGTAGCGACCCAAATTTAGAGCGTGACACATCGTCTCAATATGGTGATCATTTCTGTGAAAAAGTTTAAAAATCCAGCTTCAAATAACGAAGTTATGGGCCGAACACAATTTTGCTACAAGGTCATGCTGTGACCGTGTCATGCTGTGACCGTGACCTTCAAGGTAGCGATCCAAATGTTGCGCGCGACACATTGTCTCAATATGCTGTTCATTTCTGTGAATAGTTGTAAAATCCGACTTCAAATAACAAAGTTATGGGCCGGACACGAATTCGCGACGTAGGTACGGACTGACTGACGGACAGAAAACCCGGCGACTATATGCTCCCCCGAATTTTTTTGGGGAGCATAATAAATTCAAAGTTCATTCTAACCTTAATGGTCAAGGTCATTCAAAGGCCAATGTCACATTTAAATTAATGGTCATGTCAGTTTTGACATAAGTGATCTTTTGTCTACAAATGAATCAATTCATAAATTAATAACAAAGTTATGTCAATAATAAGCGAATTTCAATACATTTAACCTCAGCAGTCAAGATCAAATAAGGTAATTAAGTCACATCAGAATAATTCAACATGTCTGTTTGGTCATATGTGTTCAATTTGTCCAAGTATGAATTAAGTCTGTAAAAAAATAACAAAGTTATGATAATTTAAGCAAATTACAAAAAGTATTTATATATTACTTGGGAAACATTAATTTTGTAAGTTTTACCTGTTATGTGAAAGACAGATTTGAATCCCAGTCCAAACCGTCCCACTTTCATTGGGTCTTCTTCTTTAATACTACTGTATATCATTTGTATACCTTCCCAGTCATTCTCTGAGAACACTGCATCATTGTACACACAAAGTGCTGGACCCTATAAAGTAAAAATTACATAGAAGTTCATGTGAAGCTGATTACAATGAAAATAAGTGATAATATGATATGATTGACATTGTAAATCATGAAATGAAAGTAACTGAAACTATCACTGAAGGTGATTCATACCCCCACCCGCCACCTAATCTATTTAAAAATTAATTTGACTAAAGCCAAATTTGTCATTTCAGAGGAGATGGTTTTTACTTTATACCTATGACCACCCTGGGACAGGGCTTTTTTTGACACTAGGGGCAAAATTTAAACAACTTTGGTAGAGGACCTACAGGTGATATCATATACCAAATATCAAAGCTCTAAGCCTTGTTCATCCAGGGCTATTATTTTAACAATCATGTTAGAGGTCTACCAGACAATGCCTTATAAAAAATATCTATCCTTTAGCCCTTTTAGAAGATTTTTTTTAATTATTCTTATAATTCCTTATGGTTGCCATTGCAACCAGATGTCTGCATGGAATCAAATTCTTTGCTGATGCTGCGGTGGCATAAAAATTAAGTTTATCCTTTCTTTCTCTTAACAGGTTTGTCATCAGTCAAACTTGTTCTTTAATGTCCACATGTGAATCATAACAAGAGAAGAAACATTTTAAGACATATTTTCAACACACAACTCTATGTAAACTAAAAGACCTCAAGGGCCAGGCCATCCCCAGGGTTGTAATTTATACAACTTTTGGGCTATGCTACAAAACCAAATAGATCTATTTAAGTCCAGGGCATTGTAGTTTCACATTAAAAGACTAAGATGTGTTTGCTATATATCTTAGTGTTTGCTATATAAGTCTATTAAAACTAGAACTGAGACCTTTGATCTTGACCCTTGATCCAGTTATTTTAAAATCAATAGGGGCCACCAAATGGTCATGACTAACATCTATGCCAAATACGAAGACTGTGGATCAAAGGATTCTTAACTTATTGGGCTGACAAGCTTTTTGAAGTCAAGGCCCCTGTGACCTTGACCTTTGATCCAGCGACTTCAAAAGCGACAGGGGTCATCTACTGGTCATGACTAATCTCTATGCCAAATATGAAGACTGTTGGTCAAAGGATTTTTAAGTAATTGCGCAGTCAAGCTTTTTATAGTCAAGCCCCCTGTGACCTTATCCTTTGACTTAGTGACCTCAAAATCAATAGGGTCATCTACTAAATATAACCGACCTCGATACCAACTAGAACTATCGCTGAATGGGATTTATACCCCCTGCAATGTCCTTGACAGAAGGTGGTTAAGGGAATAACTTAAGTGGCATAAATACATATACATAAAAAGAAATTATCTCTGGTGAAAACTAGAAATGTGTCCATAGGACACGGGTGCCCCCACCGCGCCACTGTTCTGTCAATCTTATGTCTCTAGGTCAAATATTTTTTGAAAACTAAAAATCTTTTACTAAGTAAAGGGCAAGAACTTTACAAATACTGAAAAAAACATCCACAAGCAAACCCCAAGGTGCATAAGTACACATGCTGACCAACATTCTTGTAAACTTTCAGGCCTACAAGTGAAAAACTTTTTGAGCTATGCATGAACAAGCTGAAAAGTGCAAATTTATACTACTGTAAGTCAAGGGCAATAACTCTAACAAAACTGAAAAAAATCCACATGCAAAGTCCAAGGTGCATAGCTTCACAGTGATGTAAATCATTATTCCTGTAATTTAGTGATGCTGATCATTATTCCTGTAAAGTTGGTTGATTCTAACTCAAGCACTCAAGGAACAAAAACAACATAATGAAACGGTTTTTACTAAGTCAAGGGAAATAACTCTACAACTACTGGATAAATCCAAAAGCAAAACCCAAGGTGCAAAACTAAATATGCTGAGCAACCTTCCCATAAGGTATAATGACTTTATGTCAAATACTTTTTGAGTTACATGCGACACAAGTTGAAAGTTGCAAAAAATTTCTAAGTCAATGGCAGTAACTCTAAAAATAATAAATAAATCCAAACAAAAATACCCAGGTGCACAACTCCACATGCTGATCAACATTCCTGTAAAGTTTCATGACTCAAGGTCAAATACTTTTTGAGTTACACGCGACACAAGTTGAAAATTGCAAAATTTTACTAAGTCAAGGGCAAAAACTCTAAAAATAATAAATAAATCCAAATGAAAATACCCAGGTGCACAACAACATATGCTGACGAACATTCCTGTAAAGTTTCATGACTCTAGGTCAAATACTTTTTGAGTTACATGCGACACAAGTCGAAAATTGCAAAATTTTACTAAGTCAAGGGCAATAACTCTAAAAATAATAAAAATATCCAGACAAAAATACCCAGGTGCACAACTTACCATGCTGATCAACATTCCTGAAAAGTTTCATGACTCAAGGTCAAATACATTTTTTTAGTTACATGCGACACAAGTTGAAAATTGCAAAATTTTACTAAGTCAAGGGCAATAACTCTAAAAATACTAAATATATCCAGACGAAAATACCCAGGTGCACAACTACACATGCTGATCAACATTCCTGTAAAGTTTCATGACTCTAGGTCAAATACTTTTTGAGTTACGTGCGACACAAAAGAGAACGGACAGACGGACGGATGGACGGAAGGATGGACGGACGGACAAGGGTAAATCTAAATGCCCGCCACTAAAGTGGGGGCACAAAAAGACTAACTGTACTGGTAATAGTATAAATATATATTGTTAAATCATGTTCGAAACAGTTACAAATAACCTTTCATTTTCCCAATGTACTAAACCTTTTTTACCTTCAAGTGTGGCCTTGACCTTAAGCTGGCACAAGGGTAAGATTGGTTCTGCACATTGCCCAGTTGGGGTGAACATTTGAGTAAAGTTTGAAGAAAATCCTTCTATTAGTATAGAATTTATAGAGCGGACACGACATATTGTCTAGTATTTGATTGCATGTAAATTTGAAGACTTAAAAAGGGGCATATCTTTGTAAAAATGCAATACAGAGTTATGAAACTTGACCAGCATATCTTACTTGTGACACATCATATATATTTTAAGTTTCAAGCAAATACCTTTTCTAGTTTCAGAAATATTCAAATACATGTTAAAATTAAGAATATTTTCTAAGTCAATTTTTGACTTTCAAGTGTGACCTTGACCTTAATACGGCAAAAGGGTGACATGGGTTCTGCACATCCCCTTGTTGAGGTGAACATTTGAGCCAAGATTAAAGAAAATCTTTCAATTAGTGTAGGACTTACAGAGCGGACATGACATAATGTCTAATATTTGATTGTTTGATATTTGACCTTCAATTGTGACCTTGACCTTATTAAGCTGACACATGGGCAACATGGGTTCTGCACATCCCATTGATGAGGTGAACATTTGAGCCAAGTTTGAAGAAAATCTTTCAATTGGTATAGGATTTATAGAGCGGACACGAAAAGGAGACTGACGGTCGGACCGACTGATCGATGGACAAAGCAAATCCATTATAGCCCCCCCCCCCCCCTCCCCTCACATTTTGTGCTGGGGGTATAAATATGAAGACTGTTGACCAAAGCATTCTAAAGCAATTGATCGGACAAGCTTTTTGAACAAAAGGCCCCTGTGACCTTGATCTTTGACCCAGTAATTTTAAAACCAATAGGGGCCAACAAATGTTCATGAACAACCTCCATGCCATATATTAAGACTATGGGTCAAAGAAATCTTAAGTTATTGGGCAGACAATTTTTTTGTCAAGGCCCCAGTGACCTTGACCTTTGACCCAGTGACCTGAAAATCTACAGGGATCATCTACTTATCATCAACAATCTCAATACCAAATATGAAGACTGTGTGCTTAAGAGTCATTAAGTTATTGGGCAGAATAGGAACAAGAGGGCCAGAGGTCGCTCACCTGTATATAGGCCCCCAAAGCTGGGCCAGTTTAAACCCCAGGGCTTTTATTTGAACAGCTTGGAAGACACCCATTGGAAGATGTTTCATGATGTTAAGTTTTTACTACACACATATAATGAAAAACAATGATCTCTCCCTCCCCCCCCCCCTGGCAGGGCCAATTTTACCCCAAGGGCTGTTATTTGAACAAACTTGGTAGACACCCATAAGAAGATGTTTCATGCTAAACCTCTAAGCTCTAGCTCATTGGGTTTTTTAAAAGAAGATTTTTTAAATGTTTTAAGGTTTATACTATTCACATATAGTTAAAAACAATGACACCCTTGGGGCGGGGCCAGTTTTGACCCCAGGGCTTTTATTTGAACAAACTTTGTAGACACTTACTAGAAGATGTTTCATGCTTAATATCTAAACTGTAGCTATTCGGGTTTTTTCAAAGAAGATTTTTATGTTTTTGCTGTACACATATAAGGAAAATCAATGACCCCCGGGGCGGGGCCAATTTTGACCCCAGGGCTATTATTTGAACAAAATTTGTAGACACTCACTAGAAGATGTTTCATGCTTAATATCTAAACTCTAGCTATTTGGGTTTTTTCAAAGAAGATTTTTTTTTATGTTTTTGCTATACACATATAAGGAAAATCAATGACCCCCGGGGCGGGACCAATTTTGACCCCAGGGCTTTTATTTGAACAAACTTGGTAGACACCCATAAGAACACGTTTCATGCTAAATATCTTAGCTCTAGCTCTTTGAGTTCTTTAAAAGAAGATTTTTTAAGTTTTTACTGTATGCATATAGGGAAAATCAATGACCCCCTGGGGTGGGGCCAATTATGACCCCAGCGCTTTTATTTGAACAAACTTGGTAGACACTCATTAGAAGATTTTTCATGCTAAATATCTTAGCTCTAGCTCTTTGGGTTCTTTAAAAGAAGATTTTTAAGTTTTTACTATATGCATATAGGGAAAATCAATAATGACCCCCTGGGGCGGGGCCAATTTTGACCCCAGGGCTTTTATTTGAACAAACTTGGTAGACACTCACTAGAAGATGTTTAATGCCAAATATCTAAGCTCTAGCTCTCTGGGTTTTTTAAAAGAAGATATTTAAAGTTTTTTCTT